AAGAGCGGGAAGTGCAAGTTCCTCCTCAGATGGCCCACGGCGCCCCCGCACCAGTCCTCGAACACGTGCAGGTTCACCTGCCCCTTGTACTGGGGGTGGGAGGAGGGCTTACCTTCTGCACAGCTGCCCCCGGCCCTCCCCAAGGCCGAGCCGCTGAGCAGAGCTCACCTCCTCCCGCCACGAGGGCGCCTGACGGGTGAGGTTGAGCGGCAGTGGCCTTCCAGGCCCCCCGGGAAACAGCGCGTCTGGGTCCCGACCTTCGGGCTACGGGAGAGAAAGGGCACCAGGGTCAAATCTGAGAAATGTGAGGGAGGAAGCAGCCCCACAACCACACGCGCACACCGGGCTCAGACAGCACGTGACACAGCCTGCCACACACGCGGTTCACTTCACAGAGGTCCCTTACACGTGCAGCCACGAAGCCCTGACTCCAGCACGCCCCGGCCATGCACACCCACCCGAGCAGACCCTTGGCCACCCCACGTGCACCAGATGCGTCCACCCAGGCTGGGGCCACGCTCCGTGGTGGAGCAGTGTGCCGCTGTGTCCTCTGTGCACACGGCCTACAGGTCCTGAGGCCACCGGCACAGGAGTGGCCTTGGGTCTCGTGTGTGCTGTGGTGTTCTTCCCCGCAGCCCCGCTCACCACCCGCTCCTCCTCATGGCTCTCGCTGGAGTCCTCTGCCCTCTGTGTGGACAGTGCAGCCCGGATGCCCCGGCCATCTGTCACACCGCTCAGCTTCTCACCATCTGTGGGCGGCACATGAGGCGGGGCTGGGGTCCAGGCTCTCCAAGGCCACAGCCCCTGCTGCTGGGGTCAGCTGGAGGCAGGATGGCCTGTGGTGTCTCCACTGAAGCCCTCCCTCCCCACATCTGCCCCTTCATGCTACCCGATGCCCCACCCTACAGCTGGAAGTGCTCTCGGCTGGGCCCTTCTCCCACATCCCACCTCCGTGGGGACAGCCCCTGCCTGAGTCCCCCACCTGGCTTTTCGCAGCCCCCACTGGCATGAGGGAGCAGTTATGTGTGTGCACATGCTAGCACATATGCATGCACACACACCCGTGGGGCTGTTGTCATCAGTGACTCTGCCTCCAGGAAGGCCCCCAGGATTGCTCTGTGCCCTCAGCACTTTTCCTGTGTGCTGGAGTGTTTGGTGTCTGACTCCTTTACCAGAACTGAGAGCCAAGGATTAGTGCTGGAGTTTGTCGTCAGGTGAGTTGGCACTGTGGTCTTGAGACTATGCCAGCCCCAGCCCATGGCACATGTGCCACCTGCTGCCCCTGAGGCCAGGGCTCAGGACCAAAGGAGCCCTGGTACCCACCTGGGCAGAGGAGGGATTGGCACTCTGGTCCAGCTTCCAGAGGACATGGGGCCAAGGCGGCCCCGAAGGGAGACTGCCCCCTGGGGATCCCTTCTGTGGACATCTCTAGAGCTTGGCACCCCTCTAACTCCCCACGCCTGGGGCAGACCACCTCCACGCCCCTGCCTCCCTCAGCTTCCCAGACCTCCTCCCTATGCTGTGGGCCTGGGGTTCCATACTCTGGGATCTGAGCCTCCGAAGGCGAGGCTTCACTGTGAGCCACGTCTGCCTCCCCTGGTGCTCCCATCCAGGGACCCCCAGTCCAGGAACCCCTCTCCTCCAGGGCCAAGCCTGGGCTTCAAAGTCTATGCCCGTCCCTCGATCCAGACCCCAGGAGCTAGATCCTCGGACTGACACAGTTGGCTTGGGCCCTTTCTCTGGGGGAGGGGGCTGCCTGTGGTCTTGTGCCTGTGAGACTCCGGTGGTGCCTGCCCACTTGCTTCTCCCCCCCCAGTCACTGTCATCTGTCCAGCTGGGAGGTGAGCCTCTAAGAGGCACCCGGCCAAATCCCCACAGCCTGACCCTGATGCTCCCTGCCCACAGAGGTAACTCTGTGGGTACTGGGAACCTTCCACAGTGGGGCCCCAGGCCAGGATGCCATCACTGTCCTGCAGGGGCTGAGCCCCAGCACAGCAAGATCCACACGGGCCTCCTGCCTCCTGGCTGCCAGCACCTCTGCCTGCACAGGCTGCTGGACCCCGGGAAGGTAGCCTTTCTGGTGGGAGTGAACACAGTCCCGACAGGACAGTCAGAAAGGCCTCAGACATGTCCAGCTGCTCAGCTTCCCACAAGCCCTGCCCTGGTGGGAGCCCAGGTAGCGGGACAGGAGGCAGGGCTGCAGCCCTGGGGGCGAGAGCCCCGGCTGGGTCTGCTCCTGGCAGGAGCTGCTTGAGGGTTTGATTTTCCATAACCTTGAACAGCTCCTGCCCACCCAGGAGCAGCAAGGACAGCTTCCTCGCTGGTCCAGCTGAGAGCAGAGGAGGCCTCAGAAGTGGGGTTCCCACACCGCCCCCTCGCGGTTGCCGAGTTAGGCTCCCCAGCTGCCCAGGAAGTCAGGCTAGGGAGGACTGTGGTTGCTCAGAAAACCACAAGGCAGCTGAGCAGGAGGCTGGTCATGTCTGTGTCACTGGGTCACGCTCCAGGGTCCTGCCTTATTTGATGGTAGCTGGGGGGCCTCTATGAGGGACTGAACAGTGCTGGGGGCCCCTAGAGGGTGTGGAAGCTGTGAGATGCGTGGACTCTGGGGGTGGGGTGGGGCAAGCCTCTGACCCCTGGCCTGGGGTGTCTGTGGTGCCAGCTGTGGGACTGAACAGGGAACTCTGGACCCCTTGGTGGAGTGGCCCAGGACTTCATGGGTCAGGGTCATGGTTCTGAGTTTTTGGGAAGCAAGATTCTCACCACCCATCCTAAGGACACCTCGCTTCCTTGAGAAGGGCCAGGAACAGCTTGGCTGGTACCGTCCCTGCCCTGAGGTGCTTCCTTCTCTCTCTCATCACCGCCCCTCCGGCCCCCCCACCCCCGCACTCTGCTCCTCCTCTTCCAAGTGTGTGTCAAAAGTCACCACCTCCAAGAGGCCCTCTGGGATCCCGCTAGCTAAAGTAGCAGGACTCCTCCCCAACTCTTCCCCACATCGCTCACCAGGACCTGATTTGTGGGTTCACTGTCTGTCCCCACTGGAGCGTGAGCTCGAGAAGACTGGGAGAGTTCACTCCAGGCAGTTCGGAGCTCCCCAGGCTGGATCCCTATCCCCATGCCTCACCCCGCCTCAACACACAAGCGTGTCAGTCCCTGATCACAGGTTTACCTAGGGCACCTCCTTCAGGAAGCGTTCCAACTGCAAGGGTCAGCTCCCTCCCGCCATCCCCCTCTCTCTCCGTCCTGAGGTTGGGTCTCTGCCCCTCCCCAGCAGATGCGAAAACCGAGGCTCTGCTAAGCAGGCACGTGTCGGAGGCGCAGCCAGACTTGGCCTCTCGGAAATCCCAGCATTTAGGGCCGGTAGCAGAGATCTCCCCAGGAGCCCACCGTTAACCCCATCACTCACTACCCGCTTCAGGACAGACCCCGGCGTCCGCCGGGGTTCGGGGACGCTCCCCAAGAGGGTCGCGCACGTCACTGCTGACGTCATCGGCGTTCTGGCCGGGCTGAGCCGAACCGCGCCCCCTGCCCCAATGTCGCCGAGCTGGGAAGGGCGGACGGGGTCTCGGGGCGGGTCTAACCCACGCCGAGGCCTGGGCGCGATGAGAGGGCCCGGGACCCGCGCTGCTCGCGACCCTCACCGCCCCCCGCCCCCAGGGCGCGCGCCCCCTCCCGTACCTCGCCCGTAGCCCAGCCGCTGGCGCAGCGCGCGGCCCTGGCGCACCAGGCTCAGGTGCACGTACGTGAGCCACGCGGCGCAGGTGAGCAGCAGCAGCAAAAGCAGCAGCTTGATCTGCTTGCGGATCTTCTTCACCGGGAACCACGGCATCGCGGCCGTCTCCGCCCCGGGCCGCGCTCAGCGGCGCCGCCGCGGCCCCCCGCTCCAGCGCGCCCCGCGCCGCGTCCCCCGGCCCTGCATGGCCCTTTGTCCGCCGCCCGCGGCCCCAGGGTGCGGCCGCGGCCCCGGGCTGCCCTTGGCCGAGGGCACGGGGTGGGCGGCGGAGCGGCTGCCGGCGGTGTCCCCGCCCGGCCCCGCCCGGCCGCTCGGGCTCCAAGCTCCTGGGGGCCTCGGCGGGACGGAGCAGCATCCACGCTGCGGTGCTACCCACCGTGAAACGGGTCCGGCCGCCGCGCCGCGCGAGCCAATCCGGGCCCGGCAAGCCTGCGGGGAGCCAATCCACGGCGCGGGGGGCGGGGCCGGCGTGTTAGGGTGTGCCCGCCGCTGGTCTCCACGCAACGCGCGCGCATCCACCTGGGCGCGCCGGCCCGCGCAGCGCGGGGACGCGGGGTCCTGGGGGTGCGGAGGGCCCGGGATGCGGTGTATGAGGAGGTGTGAAGGACCGGGGACAGGGGTCAAGGGGCAGAGAATACAAGAGACAAGGAGCGGTGCATAGGACCGGGGGACATAGGGACCCGGGGTTACGGGGTGTAGTGATGGAGGCCGCGGGAGGAGCAGGCTATGGGTCGGGGAACAGTGGGGGCACGGAGAGCAAGGGTGTAGGGACGCGTGATAGGGAGACACTAGGAGCTTGGGGAACGTGAGGGGAAGGATGCGGGCAGCCTGGGCTTGCAGTTGGAGTAAGCCTCCTGCTAGCAATGCGGCCAGGAGGAATGGGGCTCAGACAACGTGGGAAGAAGAGAAAGGAAGTTTGGGGGAGAGACACAGCGGGGTAGGTGATGATGGTGGGTCGGGGGGCCGGGGCGCGTGGGTGCACAGGCTCCATGCAGGCAAGACTGAGGAGGGTCTCAAAAGCACCTGGCTTCACCCTGAGGGGCATGCGCAGCCACCAGAGGACTTAGCGTGGAGGGCCAGGGTCTGAGCTGGCTGCCAGGCGGACAGCGGCAGCAGAGCGGCGAGCTGGCGGCCTCCACTGAGGGCAGGGTGAAGATGGAGAGGAGGTGCCCCGGCTGTCTGGAAGCGGGCAGAAGGGAACCTAGCCCTCCCATTTCTGACCTGAGCCTGGGGTCCGAGGTGTGGCTCTTGCTGAGCTGGAGGTGGGAGTGGAGTGTGGGCCGATGCTGAACTTTGCCCACTTGGTTCCCACTCCTGCCTGGGCCACCGCCACCTCTGCCTGCCCTGTCGTCTCCTCCAGCCCTCCCTCTGCCCAGCTGCCCGGCTGACTCCTCTCTCTGTCCCTTCCTCCATCTGTTAAAGTTTTCCGTTATTGTGTAATGAGCCACCCAGCATCAGGGTTGTAAAGCAACTGTTAGTTAAGCTCCTGGAGTCTGTGGTTCGGGACTTTCGACGGGGCCCCGCAGGACAGCTCTCCTCTGCCCCAGGATGTCTTGGGCCTCAGGTGGGAAGATGTGACCAGCTGGGGGCGGCGACTCCGGTGGCCGGGCTGGACTCATCTGGAGACTTCTGCACCCTCGTGTCAGGGCCTTGGCAGGGATGGTTGGGCTTGGCCAGGATGATTAACCAGAGCACCAGGGTACGGCCCCTCCAGGGCAGTGGCCTCTGGGCTCCAGCAAACAGGGCAAAACCCCTGGAGAGTCACGGCATGCCAATTCTGCCACACGCTGTCATAGGCCACCCAGCCTTGAGAGGAGGGGTCGTGGACCCCACCTCATCTTGGCAAGATCATCCAGGAAGTTGCAGTCTTAACACTGCCACAGTATCCTTTTTTCCCTTTTATTTTGACCTCGGGGCATAGAATCAAGTTGGCCACTTTCCACCATTCTGTCGATCTGTCATCTGTCCTGGAGCAACACCTACATCTCTTCAAACCTTCCCCCACCCCATTCTTGTTCTTTCCCCTCCTCCAATCCACCTTCCATGTCCATGTTATCTGCACATTCATTAAGATATACATCACATCGTGTGTATTTTAAACATTATATCAATAGTTTTGTGCTGTAAATCTCATTGTGTCTCTCCAGACCTCATATATACAATGTATATCTCCATGTTGCCGTGTGTGCACTGCTTTCCCTCTGCCCCCTGATCCTCCACCATGTGCCCATTCAGCCAATAGATACCTGGGGTCCTTGTGAGCCAGAGACTGAAGGGGCACAGTAACTAACAAGGCAGATACGGTCCCTCCTTTCATGGAGTTTCTATTTTCCTAGGCAAAGGCACATGTGAACAAGCCATAGTTTCCAATGGTGATAAGTGCTGGGAAGACAATAAAGCGTGACGACGGCCTAGAGAGATGAGGGGGAGGGTTTCTTCTTCCTCTTTTTTTTTTTTTCAAATGTTGGGTTGTTTATTTTAATTTTATTTAATTAATTTATTTTGGCTGCGTTGGGTCTTCGTTGCTGCATGCGGGTTTTCTCTAGTTGCAGCGAGCGGGGGCTACTCTTCATTGCGGTGTGCGGGCTTCTCATTGCGGTGGCCTCTCTTGTTGCGGAGCACAGGCTCTAGGCACATGGGCTTCAGTAGTTGTGGCTTGCGGGCTCTAGAGCGCAGGCTCAGTAGTTGTGGCACTTGGGATTAGTTGCTCTGTGGCATGTGGGATCTTCCCAGACCAGGGATCAAACCCGTGTCCCCTGCATTGATTCTTAGCCACTGCACCACCAGGGAAGTCCAGGGGGAGGGTTTATTCTGCTAGAGTGATCACTAGAGGTTCACTGTTTTGGGAAGTGACATCTGATCTGAAACATAAACGAAATCTTTAGAAAGCAAGCATCAGAAAGTGGGTGCCAGGGACTTCCCTGGCGGTGCAGTGGTTAAGGCTCTGCGCTTCCAATGCAGGGGATGCAGGTTCAATCCCTGGTCAGGGAACTAAGATCCCACATGCCGCAGCAGCGCGGCCAAAATAAGTAAATAAATAAATATGTAGATTGTCTCTAAAAATGCGAAAAAAAAGGAGAAAGCTACTTGAACATTAAAAAAAAAGGAAAGTGTGTGCCAGGAGGAAAGTGTCAGGGACACTGCTGCCTGGGAGGCTCCAGAAGTTCTCTTTCGGCCTGCAGGCCGGCAGGTGGATGAAGGGCAGGGGGCAGAGAGTGAGTGAGAGGCAGGTCGCCTCTGCTGGATGCGGCTGCTCCGTCGGCGACCACGTGTGGCCACGACAGCCTTTTCAAAGAGTAGCAGCCACCACCCACTGCTGTGTCTCCAACTTCACACAAGTTCCTCTTTTGCCCAACTCTGACCCAAACCATACAGGGAAGGGGATCTTGGGAAACATATTCCCAGCTTAACAACAGAATCCCTAGCAGAGAGGCTCCTTGGCAACTCGGCATACACACACACTTCTACTATTTTTCTTTTTTTTTTGGCTGCTTTGGGTCTTTGTTGCTGTGCAGGGACTTTCTCTTGTTGCGGCAAGCAGGCGCTACTCTTCGTTGCGTTGCGCGGGCTTCTCATCGCGGTGGCTTCTCTTGTTGTGGAGCATGGGCTCTAGGCACGCGGGCTTCAGTAGTTGCAGCATGTGGGCTCATTAGTTGTGGCACGTGGGCCCTAGAGCACGTGGGCTTCAGTAGTTGCGGCATGTGAGCTCAGTAGCTGTGGCGCGCAGGCTTAGTTGTTCTGCGGCATGTGGGATCTTCCCGGACCAGGGATCAAACCCATGTTCCCTGCGTTGACAGGTGGATTCTTAACCACTGCGCCACCAGGGAAGCCCCACACACTTCTCCTTTAAACCATTCTTAACTTCCAAATAAAAACAAAGGCAAAATCATGCTTCTGCTTAATATGATGCAAGTATCCTGGCTAAAAAGAGGCTAATCTCTCCAGAAGAGACTGATGGACGTTTCACATCACTTTATCCATCTTTGGGTGGTACTGACTCTAACTGAATAATATGTTCTCTTTAAGAATGTTGAACACTTGAACACTCAGAGAGAGTGTGTGAGCATTAATAACGAACACTGGGATGTGAGGTCAACTATTGTTAACATACGTTAGACAGAAGGGGTGGGAGAGGAGCAGGGAGGAAGGAGGGCGGGTGGAGCTCAGACAGGTGTACCTCGCGTGAAGGTAAGGATGAGGTTCTCGTTACTTCGGCAGCCACGTGGCGGTAGCCGGCGCCTGCGTCCCCTGCGCACTCCACGTCCCTGTGTCCCCAGCCACCACCTCAGCTGCTCATGGCTCTTTGTCTGATGGAGTGACCCCAAGGGTCTATGCCTGTTTTGGGTGGTTCTAGTTTTCTGTTGGTGTTTACTCCAGGACCAAGGGGCACTCCGAGACACCCTGGAGTGTCTCCTGCCTTCCAGACATCGCCTGCTTACCCAGCTCTGTCATGAAAGCTCCGCCCCCCTCTATGACCGTCATCCCCGCCGGCCTAGCGCAGTGAGCTTCTGTCGATTCCCTGATGTGAAGAGCCCCCAGTGGCCAGGTGGCTGTCAGCTGCAGTCTGACATGCCCCCTGGTGGATGCGCTCTAGGGCTCGCCCGGGACTGAGGGGATTCTAGGATGTGGGACTTTCAGTTTTAAACCTAGGAAAGTCCTGGCAAACCAGGATAGCTAGTCACCGTAACACACCCCTCCCTTGGAATCTGAGACCACTGGACAAGCAGAGCCCGGAGTTGCAGGGATGGGAAGCAAACATTTCACTGGTGGACCCTTTGGGTTAGTAGGACACTGCCATTCCTACCTCTTGAGAGCTGGTCCCGTGGACCTTGGCTGTGCGAGACCCCGTAGGTTGCTGATTGAGAGCATTAACCCACCTCCATAGTCAAGTCTCACAAAGGCCATTCCACCCTCTGTCCACCGTTCTACCAGGCTGGCTGCTTCGGGGAGATGGGAACATGCAGGACCGGTGGACTCCATGAGCATGGGCCCACTGATGCAGTTCACTTGCTGCGAGGTGAGTGGCTGGTCGGGAGTCATGCCACGTGGACGATGGCGTAGGCGGATGCAGCTTTCTGCAAGCCCACGGGGAGCGGTTCTGGCAGAAGCACTGCAGGCAGGGAAGGTATATCCATACCCCGAGGAAGTGTCTATTCTCGGACGAACGAGGCGCTGCCCCCAAGCCACTGCCCCTGGGATGGAAGAGGGGCTAGTGCTGGTCTCTGCTTTTGGCAGTTGGGCTCTCGGCAGTGACAGCAGCCGGATAAGCCCTGGTGGGTGGAGGTCCAAGTTGTGACGCTGTGCAGAGCCTCCCTTCCCCCGCCTCGGCCACTTGGCTCATAAATCGTCTGGCCAAGGGTGAGAGGTGCCGGGGAAGGAGGCTGACGTGCCCTCAGAATGGGCCACCTTGTCCTCCTGATGGTAAGGCCCTCCTCGGCTGAGGGAGCTCTCGTGCGACACAAATTCTTTATACTTTGTTCACACCCAGAGAAGTCCGTCTGCGTACCTTTCCCCAGATGTCCTTGTCACCAGTTTTCCAATCACGTCCCTTCCTAGTG